TTTGCTAAATTAGGATTAAATCTTAAAAACAATTATGAAAAATTTATGTCCTCCGATAAGACCAGACGGTTGTTACGGAAACCTAGTGTATCCTGAAAGCAGATGAGTCCTCTCTTCAAATTTTTTGGAGAAAAATATTTTGAGGGATGTACCTACACACTGATGAGAGAAGCAAACTCGTGGAGAATTTGAAGTCATTTTTTGAACTGCACTGCTGATGTTTTCTATTGCATTGCTCTTAGCTTTTTACATCAGCGTTGTTCAAAAAGCCATTTTTTGTAAGGGCAGTGGTAAGTGGCTGAAGTTTCATATGCGACTGCGGCAGACATTATCAACGATCATTCAACAATGCCTGTCGAAGTCGCAGACAAAATGCAGTGTGGATCATGGTATCAATAGTTCAATTTGGTGGATTGCAATTAGGCGAGGCAATGAAGCAGTAAAAAGCCCAAAACTTACCAAATTTTTGCAGTAGGATGGATCTGAATGAACTTTTTGCATTAGATTCGTATGTGTGTTTGAAACTTTGGTAAAAAAATGTTGATCTGGAAATGAAAATGGCATTATTGAACCTACATTATTCAAAGTGAATTTCGAAGTGATGGTAAATGATAAATTTGTAATTCGGAAATAATTACCAGAAGTGCCAATATTACTACTCATGTGTTTTTGAGGTCACTGAATACGAATATCATGACGACGATGGTCTCAGAGGTACCTGGTGAACCTGGGCCACGTCTCCTGAAGTTTTGTGAAAATTCGATACAAAATCAGTGCAAATTTTGTTATTCGGGAGTGTTTGGGATCATTGATCACGCATATCATGACTGTGCTGGTCTACAATGCCACTGGTGCCCAGGATAGGCCTCGTATCTTGGAGGTTTTTGGAAATTTGATACAAAATTAATGCAAACTCGTTACTTAATTGTTGTTGAGGTCGCTGAACACTAATATCTTGTCGGCGATGATGTGCGAGGCACCTGGTGCACCAAAATTACTGCACTATTATATTTACAAAATTTTGATTTTGTGTCATATTTACAAAAACTCCAGGTGTTGAAGCCGTCCTTTGTGTCAGGTTGCTCGTACACCATCACCGATATGATATTAGTGTTCAGCGACTCCAAAAACCATTGAGTAACGAGTTTGCATTAATTTTGTATTCTTGAATTTTCACAGAACTCCAGAAGTCGTGTCCGTCCTGGGCACTAGGTGCCTCGCACATCATCGCTGACATAACTTTTGTGTTCAGCGACCCCAATAACCAGCGAATAATGAGTTTACATTGTTTTTTATCGAATTTTTCCAAAACTTTGGGAGACGAGGCCCTTTCTGGCACCAGGTGCCTCGTACACCATCACCGATATGCTATCAGTTTTCGGCGATCCCAAAAATCCCTGAGTAATGAGTTTGCACTGATTTTGTATCGAATTAAAAAAAAAAAACTCCAGAAGACGAAGGTCAAGTGCATCAGGTGCTACGGAAAACATCGCTGTCATGATATTCATATTCAGTGACCCCAAAAACTCACAAGTAGTAATATTAAACTCATTACCGTCAATTATTTCTGATTTACAAAATTATCATTTTTCATCACTTCGAAATACACCGCAGGGTGTTCCACCCACCGTTTTAATACTTCTTCTTTTGTATGAGTATATGGTACTCCTTATCCTTACATAGTCCGATCCTTGGTTTAAATTCTTTTCTTGCATTATTTAGATTTTTATAGAATTTTCTTGTTTGATTTTCCTTATTTAATGTCTCAAGTTCTTACAATATTCTATTTTCATAAGTTCGCTTTTTTCTCGGATGCTTCTCTTCTCTTTTGAGATCTTTATATTTTTGTTTTTTTTTTCTCGGGTTCTTCTTTGCTGCATCAGTTTATATGCATTGTTGTTTCTTCTTTTAATGTCCTCGCACTCAGCATCGAACCACTCATTTCGTGGTGGTGGTCTTTGCGGCCCTAGAATGTTATTTGCTGGGTCTTTAATATAACTTTTACACATTTCCCATTGATCACTAATTGTTAGATTCTCTTCAGTTATGTATTTAGTTTCGATATAGTTTTGAAACCTTTCTGCCGTTTGCGGATTTTTGAGGAGTTCAATATTAAGGTGCCGTGTTTTGGTACTTCTCTTCTTCTTCGCATTTGAGATTCTAGCCCGAATTCTTGTGCCAACTAGAAAATGATCTGAATCAATATTGGCGCCTCGATAGGTGTGGACATCCATAAGGTTGGAGAAGTGTCTAGCATCTATAATCACATGATCAATTTGGTTGTTCGTTAATCCCTCGGATGAGGTCCAAGTTCCCATATGCATTTTGTATAAATGGATTTTCTTTATTCGATTGTTTGAGAGTGTTAGATCAATATTGTAAATCTAGTAGTTGTCCTTTTTCCCTTTTATCTTGTTATTCAACTGTGGCTCTTCGTTCGCATTTGCACTCATAGTTTCGCTTTTACAAATCCTAATGTTACTGTTATTTTCTCTACTGAAGTTTGGTCTCGTATTACCCCTATTGTGATATTTTTGGTTTTTTATATACTTTGAGTCTCCCCTATATACATTTATATATATCTCCGTTATTATTACTCCATTCTCCTTGCTGTCTCTTTCTTCCTGGAGTCTCACACCAAGAACGATTCAAGAAAAAGCTTATGATTACGACATAGAACTATATATGTATACAGACTTTAAAAAAGGTTTGGATAGTGGGAGAAGAAACAAAATACTGAGAGATATTCGTAATCTAGCCTAACAAATCAGCCTGATAAGAATAACAGAGTAGATGGAGAACTGTCTCCCTTATTTGATATCAATGTGGAAGTAAGACAGGGAGACGGAATATCAACCATGCTGTTCAACCTAGTTCTTGAGGCAGTAATCAGAAATATCAGGAGAAACGACTAGATTACTGAATTGAATGAAGGACACGATATTGTAAGATTTGTTGAAAAGTCTGAGATTGTCATGGCTGGCACATGTCCAGAGACAAGATACAAAATCAACAAAGAAAATATTACAATGGAAGCCGATAGGAAGGCGAACAAAGGGAAGACCCAGAAAGAGATGGTTGAGTGGCGTGGAACACGGTATGAGAACTAGAAATATAAGACAATGGAGAAGAAGGACACAAAAGAAGAGGAAGAAGAAGCAGGATCTTAAAGATATTGTGAGTATCACACACCTCCAATGAAGATGTTCTTAGAATGATGAATACAGACCGATTGCTCTTAAATATGATAAAGAGAAGACAAACTTAGAAGTTAGAAGACCTAAATACCATCTACTTTGCTTTATAATACAAGGAAAAGTGGAAGGGAAAATATAGGTAAGCTCTCATGGTTGCGTAATATCAGGCAGTAGTATGGTCTCTCAGTGGTAAATGATTTCGAAAAGTAGCCAATTTCGGAAAATTGTAAACATGACGATGACCTACGTCGGATTACGGACACGACCTGAAGAAGAAGAAGAGAGACACCTCTGATGATTCTCTGAAGCTTAACTCCACAAAGGCCCATGACTGCGCATACCATCTTAAAACTTAGCAGGTAAGAGGGAATGTTAACATAACTTTGAGGAGTTATCATCATCAGTGGTGCTACAGCTCTAGTTGAGCCTTGACCTTCCCCAGTCTATTTCGCCAGTCGTTTCTGTTCATCGCCAACCGTTGACAATTTGCCGCGCCGATTTTCCTTGCGTCCTCGTCCACACCGTCCCTCCATCTCAGTCGTGGTCTGCCTCTACTCCTATTTCCCACTGGGACCGATAATAGAGTTCGTCTGGGTGGGTAATTTTCATTTGCTCTTGACACATGTCCAGCCCATCTAAGCCTGCCTATTTTTATGAAGGATATTACATCTCTACCATTTACTATTTTTTTATATTTCTCGTACAATTCGAAATTATATCGCCTTCTCCAAATACCATTCTCACAGAATGCGCCCATTATTCTTCTTAGTATCTTCCTTTCGAAGACGAGCAGAAGATTTGCGTCTGTTTTGGAGATGGTCCATGTTTCTGACCCATATGTCAGCACTGGTAGGATGAGTGTTCGATATATTATTAGTTTGGTTTTGTGGCTTAAGTTTCTGTTTTTTTGCTGCTTGCTTAGTCCAAAATAACATTTGTTTGCTAGCAGTACCCTCCGTTTAACTTCTTCAGATGTGTCATTATCGTTTGTTATGAGAGAACCCAAATATGTAAACTTATTTACTACCTCAAAATTATATTGGTCTATACTGAAGTTTTGTTCGGCGTTTCTAGCTCTATCTCTGTTATTTGGAATAGATGCTAGCATTTTGGTTTTTTCCTCGTTTATTTTAAGGCCCATGTTTTGTGCGGCTGTCAAGAAGGTGGAAGTCATCTCTTTAAGTCCTCGTGTAGTACGTGCAATCAAATCCAAATCGTCAGCGTACGCCATAATCTGCGTTGATTTATTAAAGATTGTTCCCCTATTGTGTAACTCGGCATCTCTTATAGTCTTTTCTAACGCTATATTAAACAGAAGGCACGCCAGCGCGTCTCCCTGCCGTAACCCGGCATATGTTTCAAACGCTTGTGACATATCGCCTTGTATTTGCACTCTGCAGATCACTTTACTCATAGTTGTTTTTACGAGCCTTATTAATTTATGGGGAATGTTAAGTTCATTCATGGCTTCGTATAATTTACCTCTTAGGACGCTATCATACGCTGACTTAAAGTCCACAAAGAGATGGAACGTGTCAATATTAAATTCATTGGTTTTTTCTAAGATTTGACGTAGCACAAAAATCTGGTCAATTGTTGACCTACCTGGCCTAAAACCGCTTTGATAACTTTGAGGAGTTACTTCCTTATAAATCAAAACACCTGAGGATTTTTTTTGTTTTATGAGGAGGTGAAATTCTTTTTCTTTCTTTCTCCCTTTCCTATTACCCTATCAAGGTGTCGGATGAGGTGAAATTCGACAAGTCAAAACGTGGGTTTAGAAAATAAATACAAAATTTTTTTAAAATACTACTTTATTTATGAGTTTAATTAAAAATAATTTAAAAATAGTGATAATAATACCAATAAGACTTGAAGTTGTTGAACTTTTTTTGTTTAAAACAAAATGTTGACTAGAATATAACTTGTTTACGTACTACAACGTTTTATTGAATAAAACATCTTATGTAAACTTTGCTAATACCTTTGGCATTTTAAATAGAAGTAGAAAATAAAATATGTATACATCACTGCTTATAAATACTTTTAACTGATAAAGCATACTGATAGACGTTTTACAACTCTTTCTCGATCTTGATGAGTTCTTGGATACCATCGTACATTTCTTTAACGGCGTCATATTCGGTCAAACCCATACGTCTCTTGTTGGAAATGTCATAGACTCCTCCTTCAGCTTCTGTGTGCTCACCACGAGTACCACGGACTTGGAGATTGTATTTTGCAGCAATCTCTTCCAATTTAGCCATGTTGGCAGCCAATTTAGGAACCTAAAACAAAAATCATCATTATCATCTCTGAAATTTACCAATGCACCAACTAAATTACTTCCTCTCTCTTGATTTTTGTCTCTTCTTTATAATGTGTGGATATAAAGAAAAAAATATGACAAAATATATCTACATAATAAATATAAAAAGTATTGTTTTTTTTACCTTAATGTGAACAGAAGCACGAACAGTGGTGCCCAAGTTAGTTGGGCAGAAAGTAAGGAAACCAAGCCTGTCATTGTGAGAGAATGGAATTCTTTTTTCAATGTCATTGACAGCGGTAACTAGACGTCTGTAGACTTCTCCTAAGTTACCACCCATTTGCATAGAGATGAGACGAAGGTGATCTTCTTCGTTGCACCAAACTAAGAAGGTTTTGTTCTCGTTGTGGTAGATTCCACGACCAGAGGGCCAGAATCTGCAGGCATTAGCAGCTTGCAAGAAACGGTCACCTTCCTTGAACAAGAAATGATCGTCGATCAACTTTTGCTGGACGTCTTTACTCATTCCAGTCAATGGGTAGAATGTTCCTTTAAGTTCACCTATGAAGAAAACATGTTAGTATTAAATTATACAGGTAGTAGTTTCAAATATTCACCTTCAAGGCCAGAGAGAGTGCTGGAAACTTTTTGTTCCATTTCTTTGTATTGTTCTTCGGTCAAGCATGGGTTGAATGGGTATCCTTCCATGGAACGTCCGCATCTGACACGGGTGGACACAACAAATTCACCGGTGGGGTCTAAGTCGCCAAATACGCTAACGTCACCCCAGTTCTTGGGAGGGTGCTTGTCGGTTTTTTTGAATCCACCATGGTAGTCTTCAATGATGGGATCGAAGATGTCAGCAAAGACGGTGTAGGATTCAGCATCTGGGGCGTAGATACCTACTCCAGAGTCATGGTTTTCTAAGCCTGTGGAAATACCAAACATATTGTTATACTCAGATTAACGGTTAATAAAAAATAATATATATATATATATATATATATATATATATATATATATATATATATATATATATATATATATATATATATATATATATTTTGCATACAGGAGAACTGTGAATGATATGGAGTAACAACTAGTGGCAGGTGTAGGAGAGACATGCATTTCATGCAAAGTAGTCCTTTATATGGACCGTATTAGAAGATACCTGAGAGAATTGGGCCTATGGATTGTTTAATACAATTATGAGAAGGGGAAACTATTTAGTCACACCATTAAAATATACAGGGTGAGTCAGCACTAACGAAACGGAAGATTACAGCGACACGGTAAAAGATTTTGAAAACATTTTAAATGTATAGTATGTAGATTGATAAAGGCTCCAAGGAATGGGCCGGACCTAACCTTCCAAATAGGCAATAGCCAATTAGAGCCGACGAACTGCGCGAGGTATTTAGGCATCGACCTGGACAGAGGCCTGAGGTATACGAAACACCTGTTAGGAGTGGTTAAGAAGGCGGATAAACGGACGGCAGCTATCCAAAGAATAATACCCAACATAGGATGGCCCTGCAGCAACAAGAGAAAATTGTACCTTCAAGTAGTGCAATCGACCCTTCTATATGGAACTCCCGTCTGGATTAACGTACTGAAATACCAGAAGTACAAAGATATTATAACAAGAGCCCAAAGGAAGCCCCTTTTAAAAGTGGTGAGCGCATACCGAACCACTTCTACGCTGGCCTTACAGGTGATTGCGGGAACGCTTCCCATCCACCTGCTTGCCAAAGAAAGACAAATGCTGTATGAAGCCCACGACGGTCACCTACCTCAGGTAAGAAGGAGTGAACATGCTTATAGAATGGCAAAGAGAATGGGAGGTACAGACCACGAAGGCTCGTTGGACCAAAACGCTTATCTCCGATGTTGTAGCATGGTACAACTGTAAATTTAAGAGAGTAAATTACTATTTTACTCAGTTCCTGACCGGTCATGGATCTTTCAGATCCTACACATATGGCATCAAAAAAAAAACAACGATGACATATGCACCTCGTGTGACGAGAGGGACGATGCGGAACATTGCATCTTCCGGTGTAATGTTTTCGCCTACGAACAACAAAGGCTGCAGAATAGATTCGGCGCGATCACGCCCAACAACATCATGCAGATTGCAATGACCAGCAAAGAGAATTTTGAATATATAATCAACCATATAACAGGTATCATGAAAAGGAAGACTATAATAGAAAGAGCCGAACAAGCTGGGTGAGGGGTCAAATACAAAAATAAATAATAAAAAAAAACATAAACATTGTTTTTTTTTCTTTCTTTTTCTTTTCTGTACAAAAATGTACCAAATATTACCCTTTACGGTAACCCCCCCTTTTTTAAGCTCTCAAGTTTTCTCCGCTTGGGAACTAGGTCTCCTTCCCTACACGCTTACTGCTTTTAGGTAAGTGCTGTAACTAAAATAAATAGCCATAAGGGCACCTTTAACCCAGTCTGCGCGTGGTATCCCCATGTTTCGTTCGCTAATGAACTCGTCCAGGGATACCATGGGTCGAAGAGGAGGTGGTTTTAGTTGGTAGGCGACCTGGCAGGGATGTCCGAAGGGGCCATCTGTCACATAGTTTGACATCGTGCCGCCGGCGTATGTGTCTGGTCCTTTGGTTGAATCCAACAGTACTAGGGACACCTTCCCTAGTCGATTTTACGAATCTTTCCACCTCAGTCAAAAAAAAAAAAAGATTGATAAAGGCTACATTTTAAAATTATTCTGAAATATACAGGGGGTCACAATAAAGCGCGGCGTTTCAAAGTTATATTTTTTCTTATGGACAACCCTGTATTTTATTTTATTTTCTAATTCTCTGCAAAAAATAAGGTATAGTTTCATAAGACTTCCCTATACCTATGTACAGAGTGTCCTGAGTTATGTCGAATTTTCTTAAGATGTAAAACTTTAAACGAGGACTTATTATTAATTTATTTAAGCAATTCAAATAAAATTACTTATATATCTAAATAGCTGGATATTGCTCGAATGTATTTCATGATTAATTATTAAACATTTATTTATTGGATGTTCAAAATTTATAGTTTCATTATCGGATTATTAAATGTGTAATATAAGGGATATTTTAAAGGGATATATGTATCCTGTATATTAATGAATTATTAAATTAGAAAATTTTTTCTCTTTTGAATGATATGCAGATGTCCTATAACTAGGACTGAGAGTTTTGGCGTAATTTAAAATTTTGTTAAACGGAAATCGATTTCAAATATTTATAATTGTTACTTTCGATTTTTAAACCCATCATATTGACATATTGGTATCAAATTCAGAGTAGTTGTAAATATAATTTTTATGTCTTTGTAACATTTCGTCTTTCATTTGTAACAAATATGTCAAAATGATGGGTTTAAAAATCGAGAGTAACAACTATAAATATTTTGAAATCGAATAAAAAATTTTAAATTCCGCAAAATCTATCACTTCTAATTATTATAGGACATCCATATACCATTCGAAAGTAGAAATTTTTTTAATATAATAATTCATTTATATATAGCGTGTTTCATTAAAAATAAGCCTTATATTACACATTAAATATTCCAATAATAAAACTACAAATTTTGAACACCCTGTAAATAAATGTTTAATAATTAACCATTAAATACATTTAATCAATATTCAACTATTTAGAGGTATAACCAATTTTATTAGAATTTTTTAAATAAGTTAGGAATGAGTCTTCGTTTAAAGCTTTACATTTTAAGAATATTCCACATAACTCAGAACACTCTGTACATATGTATAGGGAAGTCTTATGAAACTATACCTTATTTTTGCCGAAAATTAGAAAATGCAATAAAATATACGGTGTCTCATAAGAAAAAATATAACTTTGTTACGTCGCACTTTATTGGGACGCCCCGTATATTTCAAAATAATTTTAAAATGTAGTCCTTATCAACTTTCAAACTATAAATTTTTAAAAAATCTCTTACCGTTTTGCTGTAATTTCCCGTCTTGTTAGTGGTGACGGATTATATTTTGGTAAATCAATACTGATTTTTGTTAAATTGGGTAAATCAATACACCGGTTCTATATCCAATTTTTAATAATATCAAAGTAAAAACTGTATGATGAAACGTTTATATCTTCATATTACGAAATATCTTCAGAATAACTTAAATATAAAAACATATACTTGCCGGATTGGATAACATCCAGAAGTGTGGAACCGAAAGTGGGGGTTTTCTTGGTCTTGAGGCTGTCGAAGATTTCTTGGGTAAGGTGTTTCTTTAAGAGGGATTTGGAGTTGGATTCTTTAATCTTGGCGTATCCGCTTTCAAGTTTGTCCAAAACGGCAGCGTCAACCATGGTGGCTTTTCTGTAAAAAAATATAATTTATCAATACTATATGTATTTACATTACTATGATTTGCTTTTAAATATTTTTTTAGTTTTCGACAAACTTAGCACATATTTACATTTTTTTACTTTACGTAATTGCATATTTTGCCATATAGTTTTACTGAGCTGTATTATGCAGTTTTTTTTATAGAAATACAATAGTGTGGTTGTATGTTGATAACTGCAGTTAGATATTAGGAATAAGTGATTCCTAATAATGAAGTGTAAGGAAGCAAAAATTTAGCATAATACGGACAAAAAGACGATGACTTAAATTCAAATTAAAATTGACTTTAAGGACAGAGAAAGATCGAAAAAACTATCAATTTTACAATATGATCAAAGAGATAAACAAATTTGTATCATAAGGATTTTAAGTCAAAACTCCACCAAAAAAAAGTTTTCAAAATTTATAATTAAAGACCTGGGAGATTATTTTGAGAAAAATAAGATTTTACCAACTTTAACACACTTGGCAACAGGTCAAGAATGTTGATTGTCTGTTTGCTCAGACTGTAAGTGAGCCAACTGTATGAACTATCTCTAGTGTAGGAAAATAGAAGCTACATATATTTTCACAAGACGCTAAGAACAGTTTCCTTTGACTTGTTCTTTTGACTGTTACTACAAAGACGACAAATACATCGTTTATTTTTGGAGTTTACAATATTGATTCAATAATTGCTTGAAAATGTCATAAAGCTTTAAAATTTATAAGAAAGTTTCCAATTTATGCAATTTAACGAAATGGTTAACATTAGTGATTATGAATTTATCCAAATCCAAAGATTAAGATGCTGTTTCGGTAACTATTTAGAGAGCAATAAGATACTGTGAAGATGGCATAACTTGTTTTAATCTTCATGTAGCAACCCAGATACAGTGGTTACAGTGATAAACAAAAAGATACAGTGGTTAAGACATAATTTAGATAGCACTTTTGTGGAGTTTCGTAGAAAAATTGCAAATTAGTTTGACTAGAAATACGTCTTTAGATAAAAATAAAGATTCTCTGGTGACCCTATCGAAGTTGCCAGTAGTATGAAAGATATATGCTCAGTATATGTCATAAACACAGTACACTAAATAGGTAAATAAAAACATATAGATCCATTTACTACAATAAATAAGTAAATAAATGTCCCAATGAAAACAAAACGTGTGATCCATGATTTGGACATCTAACAAGAATGTTAAGCAAGGCTATGGATGTAACACAAAATCCACAAGCCCCTAGAAATAGATATCATGATTTACGAAACACCAGTAAGCTGAAAAGTATTCTTTTTGTTATTTTTTCTTACTTATTTCGTGGAACTCGTCCACTTCTTTAAAGTATAGCCAACAATTCGTTGCCCTGCTGGAGATTTATCTCCAGTGCCTCTTCATTCTTACTTGCATTTCATCTTTTAGTGACATTTCTGATCTATATTTCGCATTTTACGTCATGTTAGGTCTTTTAGCTGTCTTATATACATCTCTCTCTTCAATCCTGACCCCCCAGGGGGAGTGTAGTGGTCGACGTGATGTCGTGTATTGTCCGTCTCCAGAGATCTCTGTCTCTGGTCATTTCTTTTAATTCATGCGTAGGTCTTTGGCATATTCCTGTAATTTGATCTATCCATCTTGTTGGGGATCTTCCTCGTGATCTTCGGCCTTCTACCTTTCCTTGTATTATGAGGCTTTCCATGTTTTCTGTGTTTGCTCTCATAACATGCCTAAAATATTTTAATTGTTGGAGATGCACTTTACTAGAGAGTCGTTGGCTAACTTTTAGCTCTCTTAAAATTGAATTATTTGTTCTACGGTCGGTCCAAGGAATTCGTAACATTCGTCTCCAACAGAACATTTCAGTGGCGTCTATCTTTCTTCTCTCCGATTGTCTCAGAGTCCAAGAGTCACATCCGTATGTCAGTATTGGGAATATTAAGCAGTTGATCAACCTCATCTTTATCGCTCTTGAAATTTGACAGTCCTTCCATATTTTGGTCATTTTTGCTGTGGCAACTTTTGCTAGATCACATCTACGTTTAATCTCTTCTTGTAATGACCCTGTGTTTGTGATTAATGATCCCAGATATAAGTATGAGCTCACAACCTCGAACCGGTCAATTGTGGTTATGTGTGGATGATTATTGTGTAGTCTATCCACTATCATGATCTTTGTCTTTGACATGCTTAATTGCAGACCAAATATATATAAAGACAAAAGAATCTGGATCAGGAAAGCGTAAAATATTAGTTGGTGAATGTCCAAAAGTGGTAAACGCTCTCTTGATGCAAGAGCGTTCTAAACACATTTCTGTATCTGTAGTCATGCTGAAAGCACAATCAATCGAATTTTATAAAAACATTACAAAGGAAAGGTGATTTTCGGGAGTATTGAGTGGCTGAATAATTTTAAAATCGTTTATTTACCATTTATCCAGCATTTTAAAGACAAAGTAAAAGAACTGAGTCTTCTTCCTATGGAAGTAAGTTTTAATGTAAACATTTATAATGCAGACGAGAGTGCTGTGTTTTGGAGGAATATTCGTATCATCTAAAGAAGCGAGTGCACCAAGTCTTAAAGCGAGTAAAGATAGAATTCACAATTATGTCGTATTCAAATTCTACTGGAATAGACCAATTAGATTTGTTAGTGATTGGTAAAGTAAAAAATCCCAGAGTTTTTAAAAACATTTATCTGCCAGTCTGCTACACGAACCAATTTCAAAGTTGGGTTATGAGAGAGGTCTTTAGTGATCATAGCCAATGTTCTTCATGAATGAGCTGCTACTGTTTGTATTAAAACAATCTCTAACATTGCTAGTTTTTGTTTATATAAATTAAGCTGGAACCTCCGCCATTATTTTGCTACATTTTAATAAGTTAGTACCTCAATCTATATTACTGATATTGATCGATATTACTGGTATATCGAGTTTACTGATATGTATTTAGTTTTTTATTGCACTATAATTTAAATAATTTAAATAGAGATTTAATATAGTGTACAAATAACTTAGTATAAGCACTTTTCAGGACCGTTTTAGTACCACAGTTCGGAACAAGTTCCTCCACCATTATTTCTGATTAGTACTCATATTTTGAAAAATATGAGGTGCCAACAAAATCGATAGAAAATTATTTTAAAGTTATGACACACAAATAAAATAGATAAAATTGTGAAAGAAGTATACATGTGATAGAAAATAAAATAATAGGTAAAGCAGTGATGTAGTTGGATATGAATAACACACAGTGATTTTCAATAAGATATAAAATATGTAGAATAGATATATCAATTTAGATATTTTTTAAATATCAAAATTATATTTAGTAGATTCTGTATCTATCTAACTACCTAATATAACCTTCTAGATATATAAAAAACGAAACAAGAATTGTCGCTTAATATCAGAATTAATGGAAAAAAATCAACAAACAAACTGTTTGATAGATTAAGAAAACGACGTGTCTAAATTTGACATTTAATATTATGTATTCCAAACTATTTTTTGGTAGAAATAGCTTTAAATTATTTTTACACCCTCGAAAAGATCTGAAGTAAGCTAGAGACAAGATTTCTGCTATCCAAAGCCACATATAATCACATGTTTAGAAACGAAAGACCTATTTAATTTAAAATTTGGGAGACTCTTTTGCCTCAAATGATGATTGAAATATCGTGAGACATGTGGGAAAGTGAAAGGCTGTAGCCATAAGGGCTCGTGGGAGAAATATGTCTTATTAAAAAACTATTTATTCTAGTTGAAGTGATACAGAAACTGTATAAGATCAGTTAAGGCTTATCCAGGCGCAGATGTTTCTTCAGATCATAACCCCCTGATAGTGCGGGTACACATTAGACTCAAAAGACCTTCAAATAAAACAAAAATAGATCACATAGATACCAGCCGCTTACAAGATCCAACAATTAAAGAAGATTTAAAACAACATATCAATGATAACTTACGAATGCTTTCTACAAAGACAGAGAACACGCATGTAGAAGACAAGTGGCAAGATTTAAAAGACGCCATAATAAAACCTGCCTAGAAAATGCTTACCAAAGAGAAACAGAAAAAAGGACGAGAATGGATAACAGAAAAAATTTTAGGTCTCATGGAAGAGCGAAGACAGTTAAAGGGAAAATGCAGCCAAAAATATAATGAAGTAAACAAACAAATCAGAAAAGAAATAAGAACTGCAAAGGAAAATTTTTATACAAGAAAATGCGAGGAAATCGAAGAACTACATCTCAAACATGACACTTTTAACTTACATAAAAAGATAAAGGAACTGACAGGTACACAAAAACGAAAACATCCCAATCTCCTATGCAACGCAAATGGTGAAATAATAGCCGATCTACAAGAAAGGCTTAGGACCTGGAAGAACTATGTAGAAGAATTGTTCGACGATGAAAGACAAGAACCTAATATAGATAACTTGCAAGGCGACGAAGGACCAGAAATAACTAAAGAAGAACTATTATACGCTATAAAAATAATGAAAAATGGTAAATCACCGGGTCCAGACGGGCTCACATCAGAACTTCTTAAGCTTGTGGAAGGCGAATCAGTGAATATTCTACTCGACCTTTTTAACTGCATCTACAAAAGAGGAGAAATACCAAAGGAATGACTACTTTCAACTTTTGTAACCTTACCAAAAAAAGCAAATGCAAAACAGTGCACTGACTACCGCACTATAAGCTTAATGGGGCATACATTAAAAGTATTCATCAAAGTAATCCACTCAAGAATTAACAGAAAACTAGATGCAGATATTAGTAATACTCAATTCGGATTTCGGAACGGGCTTGGAACAAGAGAAGCACTATTTGCCCTTAACGTCATATGCCAAAGATGTCTAGATATAAACCAAGATATATATATATATATATATATATATATATATATATATATATATATATATATATATGCTTTATTGATTACAACAAAGCGTTTGATAAAGTTCGTCACGATCTCTTAATGAAACTGCTAGTAGAAAAAAACTTGGATAAAAGGGACATTAGAATTATCTCTAAGATTTACTATAACCAGAAAGCAAATATCCGAATAGAGCAAGAGACAACGGAGGAAATCGAGATCAAGACAGGCGTAAGACAGGGTTGTATACTCTCACCGACCTTATTCAATCTATACTCCGAAGACATTATAAACACAGCACTTTCGGATCAAAATATAGGTATTAAGATAAATGGCATCCGAATAAACAACTTGAGATATGCCGATGACACGGTACTAATCGCAGAAACTTGGGAAGATCTTCAAATACTAATTAACAAAATAGTAGAATGCAGTGAAGAACACGGATTATCACTTAACATAAGCAAAACAAAAATAATGCTAATATCTAAATCACCACAAAACTTCCCTGACATAACCGTCCATGATCAAAGAATCGAACGTGTAAGAAGATATAATTACCTGGGAACTGTTATCAACGAAAATAATGATTGCTCTGAAGAAATCAGAACCAGAATAGAGAAAGCTAGAGCCACATTTACTAAATTCAAAAAGGTGTTCTGCGGAAGAGATCTAAGTCTAAAACTTAAAATTCGCCTTTTGAGATGTTACGTTATGTCAGTTCTCCTCTACGGGATGGAAACATGGACATTGAAAAAGATCTATACCAAAAAGATAGAAGCATTTGAGTTGTGGATGTATCGTAGAATATTAAGAATACCCTGGACAGAGAAAGTAACAAATGTGGAGGTTTTGCGGAGAGTACGGAAAGAGAAAGAGCTGATACTTACTGTTAAAAAGCGCAAACTACAATATTTGGGACATGTTATGAGGGGAGATAAATACCAGTTGCTGCAATTGATTATACAGGGAAAGATGGGAAAGAGATCTATAGGAAGAAGAAGGCATTCATGGTTGAAAAACTTGAGAGAATGGTACAATTGCACCAATTACCAACTATTTAGATCTGCAGCATCAAAAATACGCATAGTTTTGATGATAGCCAAACTTCGGAACGAAGACGGCACTTGAAGAAGAAGATTCTAGTTTTGTTTCACTTTCACTTTTTAATCTTTAAAACACGCTATACTTTTGTAAAAACTAACAGTCTTTTATTGATTATTTTTAGAAAACCATATATATATATATATATATATATATATATATATATATATATATATAAAGTACATAAATATATTCGTGCAAAATTTTTTATAATAAAACAATTCAAAGAAGTAAATTAATGTCTTTTTCTTCTGACCGGTATTTCAATCACGTTGAGATTTTGTTTTATTTTTTGAAATACCAATATCTAATAATTATTAAGTACAGTCTATGTAATATAAACAACCAGTGATTATTATAGATAATACAGATAGAAAATGAAGCCGTTTATTGAAAAAAAGAGAGCATTACACACATATATTTGAGTACGTATATCTACATTGGAAATCTACTAAAATTGCAATAACGCCCATTTGTAAGACAGAGAAGCACATCACCGAGTTCTAATGATACACTTTTGCTTAAAAAGAACTTAACAAAACAGTTGAAGTCGAAAATAAAATAGATAACATTTACATAAAGCGTTTAACACATTGTCAGGCAGACCCCATGCATATAGACACCAACAGGATATGTGTATTGTACAAACCCAGAGTCGTCCTGTATTTCCTTTTTATTTTCCTTAGATGCACAACCACCCATCTTTGAATATAATATCTAGCTAAATAAAAAAATTTAACACTACGTCTAAATACTTGACAAGACCTTTTGGCATGTGTGTTAGGTGACGCCCTTCTGGTCACTTTTCAGACCTACTGTATAGCCCTTCCAGTTTTCCACTGATTTTAGCACTGTCTCCGGTTAACTATTGTATATTTCTTGCCCGGTGTCCGCACTACTGACACTCTGACTATCCTATCCACAAGCAAGCTCTAACTCTACTCAATGTCTGCTAAAGGGGCGCTGTTCTCTACCTCTAATCGATAGATGAGTCATTTAGCACGCGTCTCTACCAGATCGAATTTTCTGTTGTTGAGACATGAGCGTAACTACAAAAACTTCTTCAGGTCAATATTCCCTATAATTTAAAAGGAGACAATTATATTTTGGTACTTTTTTGTTTATATTTCATTTTTTACGAGGAGGTCGATTGATATCTACATGGTTTAACAAAGAAAATGCTTATTTTTTTTTGATAAACAAAAAAATATTTTTTTATATTCTATTGGTGACTTCGAACACTTATTTCAATTTACTTTTTACCTCAAAATTATACGCTTATTTTTAAGCTACTTTTTTAGGATTGGAAACAAATAAGCGGGAGCTAAATCTGCGTGTATGGTGAATCAGGCAATAATTCAAAATCCAGTTCATATATTTTTTCTGCTGCAATTGTAGAATTGTGGTTAAGACTTATTTCCATGCGAAAATATTTTTCTTTACTAAATAAGGCTTTTTCTTAAATTTTTCAGTTATTCATTACATCTTTTATAAGTAATACAAACAGACCAAGATAATTTCATGAGAAAGCCATAATCTTTCCTACTAATCAAGTCGTTTGTGCTTTCTTTGCTAAAAAAACCTGTGTAGATATTGTTTGAACTATTTTTTTTATCAACGGCTGTAAAAAGATTAAAAATTTGAAAGATGTGGAAAACCGTGCAAAAAAACGTGAAACGCTCAAAACATTCAGTTATGTCCCGGACCAGACCGCCTGGACATCCATGGGATTTTTGTTAATGTTATGCCTTTTAAATGGAAAACAATTTGATATTAATATTGATTTGAACTTAATAAGGTTAATAATTGTTTAAAGCTACTTGAGAGAATATATAAACTATTAAAAGATGGTTTTACACAAAGGTAACCATTTCTCTAAATTCTCTTTGTTAAACCAAGTAGTTTTTGATCGACTTAGTTATATGGATAAACGATTTCAATATTTTAAAATTATAAAGTCATAATCAGGGGACAAAAACATATTCGGCGGATTTGGGACGATATTTTTTCATATATTTTAAATGTTTTTTTGTTGCAAATGATTTTTCATGTCGATATTACGGACTAAATAATTGTATTTATATATTTTAAAAGAATATAGAGATTAAAAGTTCTGATAAATTGACCCTGCATATAAATATATTAGTAATTTTTCTTACTAATATAGTTGATACAAACGGCAGACCTTAGCATTGGGAAAGCAGAAAAAGAGAAGAGAGAACACTGGTTTAATGGAGACTGCAAAAGAATCCTAGCGCAAAGGAATATCGCAAAAAATGGAAACTGTTAGAAGTAATACAAAAAAACGTAAAAAAAATTATAAAACCAAAATAAGAGAAGCCAAACGATTATGCAGTCAGAAGAAGAGAAAATTACTGGTCAAACTAGAAATAATAAAAGATACCTAGGTTCAAAAAATCTGAAATTTTTATCAAAGAGTAAAAAAGACACTGGTGACACCAAATAAAAGTAAAATATTTTGCAGAAATAAAAATGGTATATTACTAGGAGAGAATAGAAAAAAATTAAACAGATGGGCAAAAAACAGGACAACAACAAATACAAGCATCGACACAGCACGAGATAATAGAAGTATTAAGAGACTCAAAAAATAATAAAAGCGCTGAAGAAAGTAGAGTCCCAGCAGGAATATTAAAAGTAGAAGGATATATACTACAGTAAAATATCGACTTATTATAAAAATTTGAAAAAACGAATCTGTTTAAAGTCAATAGAGGATTAAATCAGAAAGATCTTCTGTTAAACGACCTATTAAACCTAGGACTAGAAACAATAATGTGAGGAACCAAGATCCAGACAAGCGGAACGATTTTTAACAAAATACAACTATGCATAGGTTTTGCAGATGACTTGGGTGTCACGTTTAGGAATAGAACTTCAAAAATGTTTACAAAATTAAGATAGAAGGTAGAAAATGTAGTCTGACTATAAATCAAGAAAAAACAAAGCATATGGAAATGAGAGGGGAAAATGCAGATAAGAGGATCACTCTAAGAACGAATGAGGTAGAGCATACATTCGAGAAGGTAATAGGATTTGAGTACCTGAAAGTAACAGTTACACATAGAGGAGGCGAAGAGAGAGAGAGAGAGAGAGAGAAATAGATAAGCGGTTGTTAAAAGTCAGCAAAGCGGTAGGAGCATTAAACGCACTGTTGACGGCAAAAAACGTGTCCAAGGTAGCCAAGATTCGAACTTATAAAACAATAGTGAGACCAAAAGTATTGTGTGGATGTGAAACTTAGACAATGAATCAAAAATAAAAAAAAGGTAGAGAATTGGGAGAGGAAAATCCTGAGAATAGTATTAAGTGGGTTAAAGAATACTAATGGGGAATGGTGTAGAAGAACAAATCAATCAAAAGTTAATGGAAATTTATAAGAAACCCAAAATAACGCAGAAATTGCAAGCACAGAGAATTCGATGGTTGGGACATGTTTTATGAATGACACGAAAAAGAAAGGCGCTAAGAGTCCTGAAAAGAAGAGAGAGAGAACCCGAAGGAAGTGGTTTGATGCCGTCCGGACCGTTATAGAAGAAATGGGAACAAAAGACTGAAAAGTACAAGTGATGGACTGAAAAAACTGGAAGAAACTAGTCAAAACTATCGAAACCAATGGCTTCTTGAATCTTGAATCTGTTAGTTCAATGGCACAGAAAGGGCTCAGAAGAAGGCCAAAGATGACGAAGTAAAAAAGATAGACATTTTATAAATTACTAAAGTTTATGATAGTAAAATTAGAATCTATAAGACTTGCATACGACCGATCATGACATATGGCATAGAAGTGCGCGAAAATACCAACAAAACGAAACAGATGCTAAGGGTTGCCGAAATGAAAACCCTAAGAACAATAATGGTTAAAACAAGAAGAGACAGAGTGAGAAATACAAACATTAGAGAGCAGTGCAAAATTCAAGATATTGTAAGATGGGAAAGGCAGCGCAAGAGGATGTGGTACAACCATGTAAGACGAATGGATGAGAATAGACTCCCAAAAATTGCCCTAGAAAACAATCCGCCCGGTTCAAGACCCCCCGGAAGACCACCTAAAAGATGGAGGAATAGTTGGCAATCTACCTCCCAAGAAATTAACCAGAGGCAGCTTCAGAATTAAACAGATCGAAAGATCTACAAAAAGTAGAAGAAGAAGAAGAAGTAGAAGAAGACTAAAGTTTATATGGAAAAAATTCTGCAAACGTTAGAATACAAGAAAACTTAAAAAAGCAGTTTTATTAATTAAGTTTCTTTTTTAGTTTTTTTAGATGTGTGTGCTGGTATTTTATTGCTATAATACCTATTTTTATGCTGTCTATAAACAGCATTTTTCTTATTTTTACATTTAATAACCATTTATCTTGTTGAAAATAATATACTGGGACGGGAGAAAATATGAAATTGTTAAGAATAAAATACTAGATATTGATAACGGTAAAGGACGCCGGGGAAAGCTCAGGGACAAGTTAGAGAAGCAACGGTAGTCACTTGGGATAGTAAAGGTGACGACCACTAACATATCCAGAAATAAAATCGCTTTGTTTAGAGAGGATTTACGGATAAAATGTGCAAAAAAAATATAAAAAAACAACCAGACTATATGCCGAAATGAGAGAAGAAGAAGAACAATCATTTATCTAGTTTCACCTTTTTTAAAGTTTCCTAGGTTTCTTTTGATATCATTGAGTTTAATTATCTTCCACTTCTCTGTGTCCTATCAGCCTATCAATCTTCTATTCAGAGTATGACGTAATTTTATATATTTTTTATTAAATTGGACTCTTGTTTAATATTTTCTCATGTGTTTAGAGGTTTATATATCTAATAATTATTGGAAAATATATGTAAAATTAGTATAGAAGTTTAAAAGTACTTTCTGCTTGGCAGTTGTGTTAAAATTAAGAAGTAGGAAATAAATCTTCTTGTCATAATTTTCGACAACCGTCAAACGGTTTCGTGTTTGGAATGGTGCTGCAAGGCAAATGTTTAAATACCTATTGAAGCAAGGCCTTGGTTCGAAAAAAAGTTTGGCAAGATGCGCTAAAACCTATACAATAAATACAAACTACAACTTATGATTTTTATTCATACTGCTCAGACTTTTCGAAGATTTTTCTTTGTTGTGTGAACAGCATTTATTATCAACGATTTTTTTGAAACCATAATATATTATGTTATTATTATTTTATATGCTATCTAATAAATATAATTAATACGTTTTATATAATGTGTTCAACGTTAACCATTTGTGTGCTTAATAAATCCTTATTCCATCTAATAGAAATTACAAAAATTTCTTTCTCCGTATTTTGTTAAATTTATATAATTTAGATCGTTAACACAAAAGAACTAAATATTCAAAAACCAGTAGACAACAAGCATTTAATGATTCTAAACATAACCGTTTGAAAACTAAAATTAAATGAGCTATATATATACCGCCCGCCGTGAACATCGCGTACGTCTTCCAGGATTGATTTACTTTTGCCCTTGGCAATGAATTTAATGAAACGTGGGTCATGGCATACGACGCCTTTTTTATCCATATATTTAATGTTTTGTTGGGATTTATGGCAATTTGTATAGTTAATGCAAAGAATTAATTTGTTTTCTTTGAACGTAATACATTCGTCCATAAAGTTAAGGATTTTTTTTCCTACCCAACCTTCCACAGTGTTTTACCTCCATATACAGCTCTGAACATTTTAATTTTTCATCTTTCCAATTTCTCTATTAACACAGGCTATGGGGGAAAAAGTACTCTCTAATCCAGGAATGCATGTAATGTGGCCTAGGATATAAAGGGCAACCTCAGGAGCATTCCCCCAGTTCATTCAATAAAAAATTTTTGGTTATTGTTTATTAATGAGCGTTTATAGGTGCAAAATACGTATTTTTTGAGTTTTTTTTCATTTTTTGCTTAAAGTAAGTG